TGAAACATGAAGCTCCAACGGTGACCGATTTTTCGAAAAAAACAAAACAACATACGCATGTCGTTCACCCCGTGGAGTTTACCCCTTGGAGCTCGAACTCGTCTGTGGCGAAGGTCAGGGAGCGTCCGTTGTAGCTTGGCTGAAAAACTGGTGGATCGATCTGGATACTTCCATTGTAGCTTCTGCCCTGACTCACTCTTGGGGAATGTGGGAATAGCAGCTCCTGGTTAAAGGAAGTTGCGTTATTCCCAATGTTCACTTGTCCAAATGTGACCCCGAGGAGGTTGAGTGTGCGTGCAACATCCGCCATGGGATCAATCTTTTCCGGGAATTCAACATAGGATTCAACATACTTCCAAATCAAACAAAAGACATCGTGGTCCTAGCAAGTCCCCTGGGAATCACCAGCTGGTAACCAATATCTCAAAGAGTCCTCGCCCAGGCGTCCATGTTCCCCAGTTCCAGCATCCCACCTCTACTGTTGCTCCTGCGGCCATAAGTGGAAGTGGCTGGGCAACAGGTTTAAAAACGATCTAATGGTATATTTAGAATATCCCTACCCATTACCGATGGTTACTTGTTTTGATCATTTTTGAGACCATCCCCTCAAATCCAAAGTTAAGGGGGTGTGAATTTTGGAATTGGAAAGACGTGTTTTCGTTGGATTTTGGACTTCACCCAAGAATACCTAGGGAGCGTAAGGCACCTCCAAGCCAGGTCATGGAAGTGGAAGCAATTGGTGGGCGCCGGGAAGTCCTCTCTCAGGTTGCTTTGCACAGGTTGGCTTGACTCTATGTGGGTGTGTATCTTAACAAGGAGACTCCCTCCCTACCAATGGGTAGACTGGTCCATGTCTTTTCTTCCAGGGGGTCGAACTGGGCCTCCCTATTTTCATACACATCCATGTTTAGGTTCCTACAATTCTTGCTCTGATGAATGACAAATAAATACAAATAATATGGAGCAAGCTCCAGCTGCATGCAATGGGCTGCTTTGAGGGGTAAGCCCTTGATCCCACCACAGATTCAATGCGGGCATTGTGGGGAGCTAGATCTGGACTGAGAGCAAGTTCTAGCAACACCTACCTACGGTGGTAGAAATGTTACACAGTGTGGGCCCTCAGCCAAATGCAAAGGTCCGGTCTGTGACCTTTCATTGATTCCGTAAGCAAAGCAAAGAAACCTACGCGTCCCAATTCAAAACATCAAACACAGCTGGTGAGAACACATCAAACAAAAACATCTCAAATGTTGCGTTCAATGTGAACACTTTCCAAACTGCGCTTGTTCCGCATCTCCCGCAAACCTGGGAGGAGTTGCGTTTGCGTCGGCTCTCCCGTGCCCACCTCGGCTGTTTTCAATGAACGCGTCGGAGGGACCACTGATTCAATGAACGCGTCGGAGGGACCACTGATGACCACGGTCATGTGGGGAGGTGTGCTGAAATCGCCATGTGAAGCCAAAAATGATGGCCCCTCCTAGGCTGGAAGTTGGAAGTTGCTGGTCGAGTTCTTTCTCAAGAAACGTGCGATTATTGTTTTTTGGTGTTTGTTGTTTCTTCGCACCGGAAAATCAGGGTATAGACCAACCAGGGAGTCCCAACAAAGATGTTGAGCCTTCGTGGAGAAGTTCATCCATGTTCATCCCAAAGCAAGGGCACATGTCCGTGTCCTACGTAACTGTTCGAACATCTCAGGTCGTCATTTCAATGAGGTTATGATCTTTGTTGCTGAGTTGTGAAAACATTTAAGTTAGTGGTTATTAGCGACCGGGTTACGGTTGACTCTTTTGGGGCTGCTGACCCTGAAGTTTGACCCAAAGAGGAACAGGTTTTGTTTATGTACGACTGTATGACCATGCTGCCTGCTACTTGGTCGACTTGAACGCAGAAGTGAGTCTCACTTCCAGCCCCAGCCGAAAAATGCTATGCCCTTCCTCATATGAAAGCCCCCGGCGTTTTCAACGCCACTTGTGCAAAGACACCTCGCCAAGAACCCCAAGGGAGGTTGGACTGGTCGGCATCTGTGTTGGCACCTTGATTGGCAAAACGAATGAGGTGATAGCGAATGAATGGGAATTGCCCAAGCAAATTGGGTTGTAAACAAACATGAATATAATTAGATGATTGAACGGTCGTCGGTGTTTGAAAGCAATGACCCTTTTTGACAAGTGTTTTGTTTTTTCTTTTCGAATGGTTGCATATTACATTGATCCACAAACCACTCTGGAGTGGGTGGGGCAGCCACTTGGCTGTGTCTGACCCTTCTTCCAGCATTCCAGGTTGGCAAACTCGGTCCCCTCAAAATCGAAACAAATCCGTGATTCTGGAACGGCACGTCTATGATCTTTACCGACCCTTCAACAGGTCAGCACACCTTTGTTTCCAAAAGCCTCTCAAGGAAGACTTGTTGGAGGGTGCTGGTATGTGAGACCAATGGCCGATTTGGAGTGAAACCACTGGGACAACATTTTCTGCACTGAAGCAACTTGTGTTTAAGTGTCCTATCCCCAAGTTTCGGGAAACCTGTCCTACCATTAATGGGAAAAAAATCGTTCCACCAAGTTCCATCCACTAACTCGCTTCGCGCGTTAAGTGCCGGGCCGGCATCTCAGAAGGCGAGTCCATGAACTGCGACGAGCCAGGGCCAAGCGCCGAGGAATGAGCACCTCGCAGACCCGCCGAGCCGCCGACGATGCGCCGAGCAAGACCAGTCCACGCCAGTGAGGGTGTCAGTGGGGTGGGGATCAGCAAGAACAAGTCCCACGATCAGGATGGGATACGGTGAAGATCTGCGGGTGTTTCGTTGCCCTAAACTATCGGCAAGAACAAGGTCTCAGGAAGCCAACATCCGCACTCTAGAGCACGCATATGAGAGAGCACACGCATGTGAGCAAGCATGTGACAACAAGAAACAAACACATACCAAACAAAACAAACACAAACATGAGAGTCATCCAAGGACACATAAAATCGATCACATGTGAGAACACACATATGAGAGCATAGGCGTGAGAGCACACATATATGAGAGCACGGGTATGAATTAAGACACATATGAGAGAGCACGCGCACACACGCACACACACTTAGATAAAGGCTTGCAAGAGCAGTATCAGTTATGACATCCGCGTGAAGTTAGCCCTTTACATTACCGAAGCTAGACCCTGACTTGCAAAACGGAAGGGTGAAAGAGTCCGCAAGAACAAAATGGTTGAAAAAAAACGCACTAGCCCTTTACAGGAGAGTGGGGTGGACAGCTTGCTCAACAGTTGAAACTCAATAAATCGAATCTGAATCTGGTCACCAGCTGCGTCTTACAAAGCGCCCAGGTGGACCATTGCAGGTACGTTTGCACATCCAAACTTTCACGGTCTTCGTTGGCTCTGGCGTGAAAGTGGGCCCAGAGCCCCCTGCTTTGTACAATGAGTGTGGTCAAGTTTCTTAGAAACATGAATTGACACACACAACACACACACACACACATGTCAGCACACATATGAGAGCATAGACGTGAACACGCATAAGAGGGCACACACGTGTCAGCATACAGATTACGTGGCACGCGCAGCCCTTTGTAAACTCTCATGTGGGCTTTCATGTCCACTTTGAGTTGCGCCGGCTACCAAATCCGCACGTCCGTCCAAGTGTACAGAGTACTATTTCTGCTACGAAATCTGCACTTCAAGGTTCACAAAGCACTGCGCGCCGCCACGAAATCTGTACATATTCCTGGTCTAGAAAGTGCTGGATATGCCATTAAAGCTTTCCTTCAAGGTTAATATGCAAAGCCCTGTGTCTACCATGAAATCTGCACTTTGAGGTTCAGAAAAGGCCACGAAATCTGAACTTCAAGAAGTTCTCAAGAAGTGGCGTGCCTGCCACGAAGCTTGGACTTGCGGATTCACAAAGTGCTGCATCTGCTACATTGCGCACTTCCATCAGGTTTACAATGAATTCCGCCTGCCACGAAAACTGCACTTCCAGCACTGCACAATTGCTGCCAATTGAGACAAAATCTGCACCCCAAGGTCAACAAAGCGCAGCGGCTGCCATAAAATCTCCACTTCAGGGTTCACAAAACTGCCTTGAAATCTGCACATCGAGGTTCACAAAGCACTGTGACTTCCACGGAATCTGCACTTCCAGGACCTTCTAGGCTTGCAAAAGTATGCACTTCGAGGTTCACAAAGCGCTGTGACTGCCTCAAAATTCTTCACGTCAAGATTGCCATCACGCAGCCCTGCCAGTGCGTCTCGCAACAAAAATGCATTGTCCATATACAGGTTCCAGATGCCAAAGTGAAGCTTTCATGCGATACCTTCCCAAGTTCTGAGAAAATGATTCGCTGCATCTGCCACGAAAACAGAGCGCGCCAAAGACCACCACCGAGTCCAGTGCGCTGAGCCCTGCCACAAGACCTGCGAATCAGAATAAAACGGATCCAATCTCCTGCACCTGCCATGACAAGCCGACTTCAAACCACCAAAACACGAGGATTCCCTTGCAACTGCCATGAAAAAGTGACCACCAAGTCCGAAAATGCACACAGTGCCACAACGAGAGCAGCCGCTCCAGCCCACCAGTTTGCGCGAGCCTCTTCAATCGAAATGCAGCCAGAATAACGTATACTGTATACTGCATATACCATAAATATCAATATATCATAACATATCTAGTAAGATATAAGCCACCGCAAGAACCCCTAGTGTGACCAAAGTGTTTGGGGAGAAGTATGATTGACAAGCGCTGCAGCGATGCAGTCCAAAGTAAACGCTTAAGCCATATCGAGTGTTTGAAGCGCGACTGGAAGAGGTCATCGAGCTTCTGACTGTGAGCATATAGGGCCTACGGAAAGGGCCCAAATCACGTGTGATGAATAATGTGCTCTACAAGAAAAACGGCACAAGCGCCGACAAACTCTGTTTCTCCCTAGTACCTACAAGGAGCAATGGACATCCTCAGGATATCGACAAAGTGACTAACTCAGCGATGCAAGACTTGAACAGCTTCACGAATCTGCAAACCTGGATTGAGGGTGAAAATTGCATCCGAAAACTTAACCTTCAGAATTCAGAATCCCTGAGATTCTTGCTTGAGCTGCAAGACGGTCTGTTCCCTTCAGATAAGACTGGTGTACATGGGTCACTGTACAGGGAATCAACGTTCACCGCAGGGAGTCCACCTTCACCGTTCCTTATCGTTCCCCCAAACTGGCGCTCTTGCTCATTGCCTGAGGATCTGAACTGCAAGGGAATGTCGTCGGCCTGGCCCGGCCGAGCGCGAAGCCTCAATCCTCCGTCGATGCCACGAATTTGCCAGTCTGAGTAGTACGTATATAGTGCAAGGGAACTTCGTCACCAAGGACGTCTGGCCCTATAACAAAATGAAAGAGTTCATTGTACATCTGGACATTCCTTTCGAGTGCCTCAAATCGAAAACCCTATCAATTTCTAGATTCATCCTAGCTTGGGAGATTGAATTTGATACCAAAAGAAAATCCCTGAACTTGGAAGCTTTGAAGTATATAGGGACTATCAGCACGATTGAGAGAGAACTCTAGTTTTGACTCACCATTATCTAGTGGAACACATTGCTCAGCTGAGCTGAATCTCGATGTTTGATGCGAACTCTTGTCCGAAACAAATCAATGTCGTTTGCCGATGTAGTAGACTGTTTTCTGCGTGACAATGCCCAAGTTCGCAGCCTGCAACGTCGGATCACTGCCTGCAAGGTCCAAGGAGAAAACCGAATGGCAATACTACGAATCTTCCAGGCAAACTCTTTGTTTAGATCACGCGGCGGTGAACTGGAGATGATTGTCACTCTGAACAACATCGCATCCACATAAAAAAACACATTATTGTAAGATATTGTAAGGATTGAAAGAGTCTATATTATAGCTTCTGTATCAAGACAACATCTGAAACCACTATCAACCAACACCTTCCAAAACGCACAAATGGACTACCAAGGTAAAGGAAACACTATTGATGTTTTTCTCTGATTTATAGAGCTTTGGAGTAGATACCATCAGATCACTTGGACCGACCAGCTCACAAGTGCGAAACTCGCCTGAGACCCGTGTGGGCGGCGCCTGCAGGGCTTTCGCAGGCAAATGGCTGATGTGCCCAAAGTCGTTGACATGACAAGGGAAAGCTAACCTCTTGTGGTGGTTTTCTTTAAAAACACTTTGCTCTGCTGACACATAAAGCCACGTGGTGGTCTTGTGCTCTGTTCTAAAAAACTTGGTTTTTACGGTCGAGGAATTCGTAAAACCCGGGGTGAAGATACAGAAAAATATGGCAAGATTGAATGATCGATGTGAATCATTTAGACATAGACCCGTGAACCGTTCAGATGCACTAATGTTCCTACTTGGGGAATGGGTTGGCCCAGCCAACAACATCAATGGATATTTTGCATCCAGCAATGAGTCTTTAGTGATTGGTTCGATGGGATCCAAATGGGTCCAAAGTCATGAGGAAGTCGTCATGATATCAGTGGTTTTGGTGGATTTCTTGTTTGTACTTGAACCCCAATTATTCAAGATGTTTGGCGTCCCTGTGTCATGTGAAGTTGTCAAAACCCCTACGCAAGTTGTTATACCATGTGCAAAATTAAAGGTTGTATAGTGTAGTAGTGTCCCTCGAAATCGTTTTTCAATGGTTTGAGATTTATGGGTGCTGTTCAAAAGTGGTAGCTGTCGATTTTGTCGCGGTTGGAGAAATAGTAATAGGAGTAGTAGGGAAAACCATTGGCAATAGTGGTGGATAAAGTGATGGTAGTGGTCGTGGCAGTGGCAGTGGCAGTGGCGGCGGCAGCGGGAGCGGTAGCCGCAACCAATGTAGTAGGTGGTTGTGGTGGTGGCAATAGTAGAAGTAGAAGCAGTAGTAGCTGTAGCAGTAGTGGCAGTAGTAGCAGTCGTAGTCGTAGTCGTAGTCGTAGTCGTAGTCGTAGTCGTAGTCG